TGAGAATTGAACGCAGACCCTTTGTAAGAGCAGCTGGTGGTGCTCTTAAACTGCTGAGCCATCTCTCCAGTCCCAGAGGCAAACTTTGATATGACAGACTTACCCCATGTACTACTCATTGTTTGGGTATCAGGTGATGTCATTAACTTTTTTTGCTGGCAGGTGTCTATGTAGCCTTGACTGGCCTGGAACTTGCTATGTAGACCAGGCTGGTTTTAATTCAGAGATCTTTTTTGCCTTCTGAGTTCTGAGATTAAAGATGCGCACCACTACTCTTGCCTCAGTTTGTCTGCTATTTGGAGTTGCTTGGCCTTTCAGGAAATTCGTAAGACAACCTTGTTCTTGAACCCCTGATTGGGGTCCTGCAGGAAGATAGGAATGGGGCTGGGAAAAGCAGGCATAGAAAGCATTGTGGGTCTCATTGTGAGCCAGCTTTTCTTAAAGATCCTTTCATCTTTGGCAAGCATTTTATCTTCCTAGCCTGTTAATACTGAGAAAGGAGAAAGGTTGTCTGGGAACCTGGAGGTAATGGGGCAGAAGGCCATAGCTGCTTCCTTTTGCCAGGGTGAACTGGGTCAAATGGCCTGAGGAGGAAGACCAAGGTGGAAAGGCAGAGCCTGTCTGGGGTGGGGCAGGCAAGACAGGAGGAAGTAGCTCTCTGTAAGGAGAGTTGTGGGCAAGGGAGCTGGCTCCTGCAGCAGGGAACTGGTAGGAACTGAGACAGGCTGTGAGCAGAGTACTGAGATTGGCAGTTGGCCCCTGAAATTTGATGGGTCAGCATTGGCTAGCATTCTCCTCCTTCTTCATATTGTATTCCGTCAGAAGTGGCCTTGTCCTAGCTCTCTACAGTCTACTTATCCAGATTGCACCTGACACAAAACCAGGAGGGATCTGCAGCTCGTGGACTCAAGGCAGTGTTGAGCCTAGAAAGCAGTAGATTAGAACAAGGTCTGAACCAGGACAAGGAAAATAATTATAGAAGTTGGAGACTTGGTTTAATCCTAGATTGCTCCTGGTGGTTGTAGTTGTCTATATAGGCTAATAGCAGGGCTGCTAAAGTCTGAAGAGGCTGTGATGAGTAAAGAGTCTAGTTTGGCAAGGAGGAACAGCTCCACTGTTCCTCTGAGGTCAGCATATACCAGGTATCAGGCTATAGGAGGGTGAATACCTGAGAGCAGAAAAGAACACCCAAAACATACCTGTAATCTCAGCACTGGGGGAGGTAGAGGCTGGGCACTGGCAAGTTCCAGGCCAGCTTGGTTATGTAGTACCAAGGTAGCCTGGGGAAATGGAAAGACACTGTGTGTTGTGTTTCTTGTGGCTTTATAAAGATCCTGGAGAGAAAGAAAGAAAAGAAAAGATAGGATATTGGTGGTGGTGTCTCTCTGTGTGGGCTTGGAGTTTCTGCACTATGGTAATGTGAGGAATGGCAAGATACAATGGGCCTGCTTTCTCTTGGGATCCAGGGCCTCGTCTGTCCCCACCAGGGCCTCGCAATGTTGGGGACCAATATCCTTGCTGGGAAGTGCTTTGTTCAGGGAACCAAGAAGGCTGTTCTTGGGTTCTGACTTGCCTTCATTTCTCCTCTGCACCTTTATTTTTGGTACTTTCCCACTTTCCCACTTACCCTAACTTTGTTTCCAACAGTCTTTGTACAATAGGTGTTTGACCAGTTCACTGAGGTTCCAGGACTGTTGGTGAATGCCTGCTTTGTTCCTCTCTGAATTTTTCAGGTTCTCTAGGTTCATCCTAGACCACCAGCTTTGGGTCAGTCAGAGACTGAATCTGGACACTTTAGGTTATCTTTTTTTGTTGTTTTTTCGAGACAGGGTTTCTCTGTATAGCTTTTGAGCCTATCCTGGCACTCTCTCTGGAGACCAGGCTGTCCTCGAACTCACAGAGATCCGCCTGCCTCTTGCCTCCCGAGTGCTAGGATTAAAGGATTGCACCACCAACACCCGGCACTTTGGGTTATCTTTATAAAAATAGTTTCAATATTTAAAGGTCAGAGCTGGTCTGAGGAGAGGGCCTGTGAAAATGAATGAAGGTTAGACTTCAGGTCTTGGGACTGATTTTTCTCTGTGTCCTAGGATCGGGAGGAGCGGAAGCTGTTGCTGGACCCCAGTAGCACCCCCACCAAAGCCCTCAATGGAGCCGAACCCAATTACCACAGCCTACCTTCAGCTCGCACAGATGAGCAGGCCCTTCTTTCTTCCATCCTTGCCAAGACAGCTAGGTGAGTGTCACAGGACCAGGCTAGGGCAGAGGCAGCCAAGGTTGGAGCATAGGGAATAGGACAAGGTCACTAGGGAGAGATGCCCCTGGGTTCTTCCCTGTTACACTGGCAGGTGGGAGTACTAGTGTCAGGTAGCCTTGGACTTGGCACCTAGCACTGATTCTTGCCTGTGCCCCGTCATGTCTTCTCTGCTTCTTCTCTTCAAAGCAACATCATTGATGTGTCTGCTGCAGACTCCCAGGGCATGGAGCAGCATGAGTACATGGACCGGGCAAGGCAGTACAGGTGAGCACAGGGCCAGCCTCCTTCCTAGTCATTCCTTTCTAGCTTTGGAGTCTGGTTCCCTGTCCAGGATCTTCATTTGGGTGCAGCCCAGAAGACTTGACTGCAGATCACTTAGGTGCCTCAGGCATTCAAGTCAGCCCTGTCTGCCCAGTATGTTTGATCAAGGGTGATGAGACCAAAGGAATACAGTCAAGTGAGATTGAGATGAGCTGTACACTGCCACCATGTTCCCCTGGCCTGAGGGAGTGAGGCTTGCCTGGGCAGGGCAGGGCAGGGCAAGCTTTGGCCTAATTGTCCTTCCATGACCCTCCCCCCTTGGCCAGTACCCGCTTGGCTGTGCTTAGCAGCAGTCTGACCCATTGGAAGAAGCTGCCACCGCTGCCATCTCTGACCAGCCAGCCCCATCAAGTGCTGGCCAGCGAGCCCATCCCCTTCTCTGACTTGCAGCAGGTGAGCACTCCTGGCCTGTCCTTTGCCCCCTTCCAAACTGCTTCACAGATAGAAGTGAGCCTGGCATTTGGTGAGCCCAGGTTATTCCCACCTTGTTCTCTTAGTTTGAAAGCCTTCTTAGTTCTTCTCCATACCCTTTACTTTCCCAGCATCTGCCTTTGTTTTTATCTGCCTTCCCCCCTCTCTCCTTTCCTCCCTCCCTGATAAAATCCAGGACTTTGTGCATGCTAGGCAAGGGTTAACCCTTATTTTTTGAGAGAAGGACTCACTGTTTTAGCCCAGGCTGGCATTGAGCTTGTAACCCTCCTGATTTAGCCTCCTGGGTAGTAGGATTACAGGCAAGCACCACTACACCCAGATCTTTTTGGCTTTCAGTCCTTCATCAAACCTTTCCTTTATTGTTATTTCATCTCCCACTTTCCCAGCTCTCCCTCTCATGTCTGTTCTTTTCCTCCCTGGCTCCTCTGTCTCAGGTCTCCAGGATAGCTGCTTATGCCTACAGTGCACTTTCTCAGATCCGTGTGGACGCGAAAGAAGAGCTGGTTGTACAGTTTGGGATCCCATGAAGAGAGGGGTCCTGGGACAGCTCTTCCCTCCTCTTCGTCCCGTCTCCACCCCACCTCTTCTGGCCCCCAGCCTCACTGTGGCTTTCTACAGTACTTAACCTGCTACTAATCACGGAGAAGAATGTGGAGGAAAAGAATAAGGCTAGAAGCCTGAGCAAGTGAGGACTGAGCGCAAGGGAGGGGAGAACCGATCGCCATTGGCCTTCAAGTCCTGGCTGGGGTGAGGTTGGGGCCAAGAGGACTGGGCCTGGCAGATTTTCATAGTCATCGGGAAAATGGAGATACCACTGTAGGGGTGAACACCGGGAGACCTAGGGGATCCCCCCTTCCCACCCTCTCTCTTGGCCTCCAATTCACTCCTGTCCCATTCCCTCATTTGGTGCTCATAGGCACCTCACTAGGGATTATGACCAGGGTCTAGATGAGCTTGAATCTGAATTGAGTTTGTATTTCTAGTGCCCTGGGTTTTTACATGTTTGGTCTTTTTGTTTTTGTTTGTCACCCCTCGATAAAGGAAGTATATTCAGTTGTGTTGCTGGCTCAGCCTGCTCTGTCGTGCCTACCACTCCACTATTTATTTTTGGCTGTTCAAGTTTGTGATCAGTGAGATGCAGAGGAATGTCTTCAGCAGCATTAAAGAGGAATCCAGGAGATAAAAATTCAGGGTTGCCAGGTCTTAGCTGATGCAGTGTGGGGTAACCTCAGGTAGGATGAGACTATTCATTTTCCCTTATCTATTGATGATAACACTGTCAGAGCACTATTGGAGACCTTGTCTCAGGCTCAGTAGGCTTACAGACAGTCTCTAGGGATAGGAGGAGGTCATACTCTGCTGGTCATTCTTTTCAGGAAATTAATTTTTTTGTTGTTGTTAAGACAGGGTCTCACTCTGTAGTTTTGGCTGTCCTAGAACTCACTGTGTAGACCAGGCTGGCCTTGAACTCACAGAGATCCAATTGTCTCTGCTTCCAGTGTTGGGATTAAAGACGTGTGCACCAGGCTGGGAAATGAAATCTTAACTAGAATCACAACCTGAGAGTAAAACTAATCCGCTCTAATAAAAATAGACCAAAGCTATTTTCTGGCCCTGGTCTGGAGGCTGAAGGTAGCTCCTCACACCTTAGCACTTTATGAAGATTTTCAGTGAGGCATGGTGGTTTATTCCTGTAATACCAGCACTCAGGAGGCTGAGGCAAGAGGATGCTACAAGGTCAAGGCCAGCCTGGGCTAGAATTAGAATCTCTTTAAAAAAAAAAAAAAAAAAGGTTTTGGAAATTGCTAAGCTAATCTAATTCTTATGATATCTGAAGGGTTAAAGAGTACAAAGGGGGTCCAGTGAGGATAGAAGAGTTTCCTACATGGTAGCACCAGGCTCCTGGGTCCTAGGCTAGTAGGCAGGTCTTTGCCTCCACTGTGAAGTTTTACTGGTAGTTGCTGGGTGTGGAGAAATCCTTACAAGGTACAGGGGACTTTAATCTGCTGAACAGCTCAAATCATTTATTGTCAAACAAGCTGATCATTTTCAGGGCACTGGGTGTGCTGGGGTCCTGCCAATCTCAGAGTGCATCCTGCTTGACCCGGACCTTCTTGGGCTTGATGTTCATGCGTTTCCAGACTTCGGCTGTGGTGCGGTCTGCCTTGGTGATTCCACTGAAGTCGAACGTGGTGATACGGGGCAGGTTGCACAGCACATACTGCCTGTGAGGGAGACTTGTGCTGGGGCGAGCCCCCATATAGATCTCCCTCCCCCCTACCAGTTGCTGCTATCTCTGAACTGACAGCAAGGAATGTAGGAGAGCGTGGCTGTGATTTGGGAAGACTGGGTTCATTCTGAGATCAAGGGGAGTGCTTAGAGGTCTGCCACTTCCTCTTGTGGTCCACATGTGACAGAAGAATGGTCTTGAATTTCTTGTCTCCTCTCCCCTTGTTGTTCCTTAGGGAGCCTCTTCTGGCTCCCAGCTCCAGGTACTTACCTGTACCCCTTTTCTTCCTCTATGGGGTTCCCATGGAGGGTCAGGCTCCGGAGACGAGGGAGCACAGATAGCTTATTCACCTCCCCTAGGCGATGGATGCTGTTGCCATGAAGGTAGAGGACACTTAGGTTGAAGAATGTTGTTAGGACCTGTTTGGGCAGAAATCAAAAGTCAGGCTGGACAAAGACTGGATCTCTGCTCAGATAGACTATCTGGCAGAGAAAGTAAAGTCTGGTAAAGTCTGGAGAACAACTTGCCCCCTCCCCCCCACAGCATTCTTTTTTTTTTTTTAGTTTTGAATCAAGACAGGGGTTACATGGATTCTCTATAGCTTTGGAACTAGTTCTTGTAGACCAGGCTGGTCTCGAACTCAGAGATCCACCTGCCTCTGCCTCCCGAGTGCTGGGATTAAAGGCATGTGCCACCACTGCCCAGCTCCCTCACAACCATTCTAGATGACTCTACTTTGCTTTTATTACATTTAAAAAATTATGTGTATGGATGTTTTGTGTATATGTATGTATGTACACACCACAAGCATGCCTAGGGCTTGTGGAGGCCATTGGATTCCCTGGAACTGGATTTACAGATAGTTGTAAGCTACCATCATGTGGGTGCCAGGAATTGAACCTAGGTCCTTTGAATGGCAGCAAAGGGTCTTAACTGCTGAGCCATCTTTCTAGCCCTTATTTTATATGTATGAGTGCCAGCATGTACATCTGTGCCCCACATAAGAGCCTGATGAAAGTCAGAAGAGGGCATTAGGTACCCAGGAAGTGGAATTATATGGGTGGTTGTGAACCATCATGTATGTGCTAGGAACTGAACCTGGGTCCTCTTGAAAGAAATAAATGCTCTTAACAGAGTTAGGAACAAAATCTAATATAGAGTTGGCATCCAGCTGGTCAGGTGACAGCTTCTCCTCCTGAGACTTAACTTGATCCTGAAGGCCTTTCTAACTGAACTGTAATGGCCCATGAGTCCGCCTGCAGGGGAGTTATCAGCTCACCACATAAGCTTTGAAGATCTTATCTGAGTTCATATCATTGTATATTGCAGGGGAATGGTCTCCAAGCCATGCTCCAAACCTTTCCCCTTCCAATAGGGATCTTGGGCAAGAAGGGGCCTAAATGTTTCCTTTTCCATTTTTTTTCCTTCCTTGTTTGCTTCCTTTTCTATCTTCTTTCCTTCTCCTTTCTCTCGTAGTCCAGGATGGCCTCAAGCTCACTATGTAGCTGAGGATGACCTTGAACTCGTCTTCCTACCTCCACCTTCCAAGTGCTACAATTACAAGCAAGCACCAACATACTTGGCCAAACTATGTTTTTAAAACTTAGATTTCAGCCGGGCAGTGATGGTGCACACCTTTAATTCCAGCACTTGGGAGGCAGAAGCAGGAGGATTTCTGTGAGTTCGAGGCCAGCCTGGTCTAAAGAGTGAGTTCCAGGACAGGCTCCAAAGCTACACAGAGAAACCCTGTCTCAAAATCAAAAAACAAAACACCTCAGATTGTACAGAAAGTAACTGATATACTTTTCTAATACCTCTTCCTTAGTGGAGCTCAGCACAAAGCACAGTTAAGTTCATAACGATGCCTGCTATAGTTTTGTCCCAGTCACTGATAGGCAAATTGGTTCTCACACATGGTTATGGCATCTTATCCCCATAGGAAGACTGAAGAAGGTTTTTTGTTTTGTTTTTTTTTTTTTGGTTTTTCAAGACAGGGTTTCTCTGTATTGCTTTGGAGCCTGTCCTGGAACACACTCTGTAGAGCAGGCTGGCCTCGGACTCACAGAGATCTGCCTGCCTCTGCCTCCTGAGTGCTGTGCCCCCAACTCCTGGCTTGGAAGACTGAAGTTTTAAGAAACTATGTAGCTAGTGAGACTCCAGGAGGCAGAAGCAGGTGGATCTCTATAAGTAAAGGCCAGCCTGGTCTACATAGTGAGTTCTAGGCCAACTAGGGATACATAGTGAGAGTGTCTCAAAAAAAAAAAAAAAAAAAAGATATTTACAAGTCACATAATAAGGGGGAAACTAAAGAGTTGTGCCTACATCTATGTATCTCTGCAACTATGTCCTTTGAACTGCATGGAATTGCCTATGCTTCCTTGATAAGTGAGGAAAAAGGCTGTGGCTGGACACAGTGGCTTCAAACTGCCCCTAGTCTAGATGTCCACGGATAGGAACTCACAGGGTCAATGGAAGTCAGGTCATTGAAGGAGAGGTCAATCCAGGCCAGGTTCTCTGGGTGCTGCAGAAGCAGTGAAACCACCTGGCTGAAGTCTTTCAGATCATTGAGGACATTGTTGTTGAGCCACAGGGACTGGGTCATTGACTTTCCTGACTTGGTGTGCTTCACTGGTCGTAGACCTGTCCTTGGCTCCTCGCTTACCAGATCTATGATGACAAAATAAGACTTGAGATCATTCATTCACTTATTTATTTAGATCTTTAAGTTTTATTTGTATGAGGTTTTTGCCTGTATATATGTACACTGTGTGCATGCCTGGTGTCTGCAGAAGTCAGAAGAGTGTAAGATCCCCTAGAACTGGAGTTAGAGGTGGTTGTGATCTACTATGTGGGAATTAGGAATTGAATTTGGTACCTCTATAGGAGCAACAAGTGCTCTTAACCTCTAAGTCATCACTCTAGCCCAAGGCTTGGGTTTATCATCTTTGCTTTTCTACCTTTAGGGAGTGAGGAGGGAGATCTGGAAAGATGAACATACAAGTGCTACTACTTTGAGGCCTTGGCAGGGCCTCAGCACCAGAGTCTAGTGAGACCCTCCCTGCCTCAAGCTCCAAAGATCAGAGTAAGTTTAGAGTAAGGGCTAAAGAATTTTAGGCCAGATGGCTTTCTCACATCTATTGGATTACTGGATTCTGTGTATACCACCCCTGTTAGTGGACCAGACTTTTCCCACTTTACAAATCAGGAAAGTAAGAACTAGAGTTGTTGGCGTAAACCAAGATGACATCACAAAATGCAGAATCCTCATCTCATATAGCTTACAGAATTCACTTCATTGGAGCACATCCAGTGTCCGTCACTCCTCCACTACTTACAAGCTTTATCAGATAGTAGATGCACAATAGTAAGCAATGAGAGAGAACATGCCAGGCTTTGGATGAGCAATAGGGCAGAGATGAAGCATATGTGTCTCAGAGGAATTTCTGGGGGCAGGGTAGAAACAAACTGGCGATGAGGGTTATGTGATAACCAAAGTGATTGTAGCAGGGAAATGGTCTTGGTGCTCTGAAAGCACAGGGAAGGCAAAATCTGAGCTGAACTTGGTAGATTAAGAGACGGTAACTAGGCAAAGAAGGGGAGAAAGGATGAGAACAACATGAGCAAAGATACAAGAAGACAGGCTGGAGACACATGTCCACCAGTACCACACACAAGGGCACAAGTAGAAAAAAAGCAGATGGGAGCCAGTCCTTAGTCCTAAATGCCAGGCTAAGCTCTTGGGCTTTTTTCTGTAGGTAATGAGAAGTCACGGGAGTGTTTAAGACAGAGATAATTCAGCTAAATGCTGGTGGTGCACACCTCTGATCCCAGCGTTTGGGAGGCAGATCTCTGTGAATTTAAAGCCAGCCTGATTTACAAAAAGTTTCATGACAGCCAGGGTTGTTATACAGAGAAAACCTGTTTCAAACAAACAAACAAACAAAACAAAAACAAAACCCACTAGAGGGTTGGAGAAATTCAGAGAAAACCTGTTTCAAACAAACAAACAAAACAAAAACAAAACCCACTAGAGGGTTGGAGAAATGGCTCAGAGGCCAACAGCACTGGCTGGTCTTCCAGAGGACCTGGGTTCAATTCCCAGCACTCACATGGAAGCTCACAACTCTGTGTAATTCCAGTTCCAGGGTACCCAACACCCTTACACAGACATAAATGCAGTCAAAACACCAATGCACATTAAAAAACAAAAAACCCACCAGAGATAATTCAGCTTTTCAAAACTCGTGACTTTGAAGCTTCTATGAAGCATACGGATGTAGAAGGTAGATCATTCAAAGATCAGTTTTTCTACTTTTACATGAGAGGCGATGGACAGCAATGATCATGATTTGGCTTTATAAAGGTGGTGCCCAGCTTTTTGTTTGGGCTCTATTAGCTAATGAAGAATTTCAGGAGAAATTGGATTGGAAAGTTGATGAGTTTAGGCTTGGATTTGATGTGTTAGAGGTTCCTATTGTATGAAGAGGCAAGAGAAGCCAGCTAGGCAGGTAGGCATTAGAATGAAGGTCTAAAGCCAAGGAAACAACCTCACAAACGTTTAGTACAGGGTATATCAGTTGGGGAAACAGGCAGTTCCCCAGAGAGGAAGAAAAAGACATTTAAAAAGTTAGTAAATAATCTGAAGAACAGGGAGATGCGGAGAGAATGGTTTTATTTATTTTTATTTTTTTAAAAAATTATGTGTATGGGTATTTTGCCTGCATGTTTGTGTGCCATGCCTAGTAAGGCCAGAAGAGGTCATCAGATCCTTGAGAATTAGAATTCCAGATGTTTGTGAACCATGTGGTGCTGGGAATCAAACTCAAGATTCTTTGGAAGAGCAGCCAGTGCCCTTACCTGCTAAGCCATCCCTCAAGCCCCTGAAGGAATACTTTAAAGGTGTTTGGAGAATCTGCAGTATATGGAGGAGTAAGTTCCAGGAGAAACAAGAATTCAATACTAATTCTGGCAGCTCAGAAGTAGCTGGTAACCATGTAAAGGCTTGAGGACAGAAGCCAAATTGGAGTGAAAATGAATAGCAAGTTCAAGCAGGTAGCCTGAACATCCACATTGGAAAGTGAGGGTGCTGTCTTTTTCAAATAAGGATCATAATGAGGATGGGTGGGCTGGCTCTGCTCAAGCTGGCCTCAGTAGGAGACCCAGAGCCAGACTGCAGTTTAGTTAACGTGGTTCTATTTCCCTTCTGCCGCCAAGCCTCTAGCAAGTCTTAAGTGGCCTGTAGGGAGAAAGCACTTAGCACTCTCTCCACACCCCAGCTGACCACTTCATCTCAGCTGCAGGTTAGTCAGCACCCACCAGGTGGCTCTCTGCACTAGTCTTGGAATGAACAGGACCCAAGGCTGAGCCCTAGTGGGTAGAGGGAGCATAAGGAAATGGAGCAGAGCATTTCTGTTCATGAGTAGACTCCAATTCCTGTCTCCCTCTCACACCTTCCAAAAACTTTCAAAGGATTTGACTTAGATGAGTAATAATGTCAGAGTAACTACACATGAACTAACATCTGTTCTGATAATGCAGAAGCTCAGGGGCATGTCACATAAAAGACTGGTCCCACACTGTGAGGGAACCTGGATGGACTTGCCTTAATGTGAGGCAGCCTGAGCTCCTGTTACCTAGGGTAAAAGGAGGCATCTAGAATTGTTGTAGGTACCTGTCCCTTCACATTAGCAAGCTACTGGTTGTGCATGGGATGAGCTTATGTTTGGTAATACTCCTGAAGCTTCTGCCTGACCAGGGAGTCCAAATTACATGTCTTATAAAGTCACTGGTATCTCAGATTCTGTGGTACGCTTTGATTAATTCAGCAAATACTGTCCCAAGACACCCCCCCCCCAAACTCTAGGGAACAGAAAGAACTCTGGCTTTAATGTTTTTCCCTCTACCATTCCTTAAAAGACTTAGCAAGGCATACAACTGCTTGGTGTATATATCTCTACATATATGTAAATACTGCTTAATAAATAATAGTTCAGCTGGGCAGAGGCCGTGGCACATGTCTTTAATCCCAGCTCTTGAGAGGCAGAAGCAGGTGGATCCCTGTGAGTTTGAGGACAGGACAACCAGGGCTACACAGAGAAGCCCTGCTTGAAAACCACCACCAATAATAATTAAAAGGAGCTCAGTAAGTTCTGAACTGCTGGATGGAGTGTGTAGCATCTGCAAATTCTATTTTGTGCTGTTCCTTGGGTAGAACTGACTAGTGTATCCCCTCATTCCAAGGAGTCCACAAAGAGCAGAGTCAGATCTTCCCACTGAAAGTTGGAAATTCCTATGCAGTAGTAGGAGCCATTACACACCCCCAATCATTTTTGCTTTCATGCACAAAGCTATTATTGTAACTGAAATGCTTTTGAAATATGTATTACATCAGTCAGAAGTAAGGTAAAGCATCATAAAAAGGTCATGGTAGATGAGCGCATGTTGGAGAGAGAGAGACATGAGATACCAATGTGTTGGACACTAACTGAAGTAGTGTCCTGAACCAAAACCCAGGCTAGTAATACTCCTGAGCTAACGGGTGGCTATCTGATGGAAAACCCAAGCCAGACAGTAAATCCGAGATAGTGAGTTTGTATATGTGTTTTGTGAGGTCAGTAACCAAAGGCAGAGGTGGCAGAACTGCCTACTTGAGCATATAGTACTGTGAAAGCTTCGTCATGTAGCATGAAAGGGGTTAGCTGCCTGTTTAGGAAGACACTGAATAGTAAACAGAGACTGGGTGTGGGCAGAGCTGGGACTGCACTGAATGTCAGTGATGATGGAATAAACTTGGCATGTATGGAATGAATGGATATTTGTCAAAAATGTTAACTGTGAACATGCCAGTTTGTTACTAAAAAAGACCTCTCATATTTTACCAACGAGCCGCAGATGTTCCTAGACAAAAGAGACAGGGTTCTGCCACCATGGTGGAACTTGGCAGCGGCCTCTTTTTTTCTTACTAGTCCTCTTGTCAAGATAAAAACAGAATACTAAGGCTTCTGCCTGATTGGGTGATTTCTTAGTATTCTTCATGAATTTCCTGCCTGTCTTCTCTTGAAGATGGGTCAACTACCACAAGAGACCACTGGTTCCATTCACATTTGCTACTTTTAAAAACTAGGGGGTGGGGGTGGAGAGTGGTTAAGAGCACTTGTTGCTCTTGCAGAAGACCAGGGTTTGATTTGCTGTACCCACATGATGGTTCACAACAATCCCTAACTCCAGATCTAGGGAATCTGAAGCCCTCTTCTGACTTCCTTGGGCACCAGGCATGCATGTGGCACATATACATACATTTAGGAAAAACATTCATATACATAAAAAATTATCAAGGGACTGGAAGAGATAGTGCAGCAGTTAAGAGAATTGGCAGCTCCTCCAGAGGACCCAGTTGTATTTCCAGCACCTTCATGGAGGCTCTCAGCCATTTGTAACTCCAGGTTCAGGGGGTCTGGTTCCCGATTCTGGCCTCTGTCTGCACCGACATACAAGGAATACAGATATACATGCAGGCAAAACACCCATACAAATAAAAGTAAAAAATATATATTTTTTTAATCTCAAGGCTGAAGCTAGAGCTTAGATATAGAGCATTTGCCCTATATGTCAGAGTCCTTGCATATCACTCCTTAGCTATGTAAAACAACAAAAAATCCTTACTTCACCTTCTCCCTTCAAAGACAAGAAGTTGGGGGAAAAATCTGTTTAGGCATTTTAAATAGAAGACTAAGGTACTTCTAGCTTGATGCCATGTTTTGTTGACTGCTGTGCTCTGTGGGCTGACCTTGGACCACGTGGATGCTTTTGAAGGAGTAGTCAAGAGGAGGCTCCTGCACCGAAGTGTTCATGTAGTCCCGTTTGCTCATAGTTCAGGCCATCATTCATCAGGTGGAAGCATGGGCCCTGGGAATCTGGGTTCAGCCTGGAAGGATAGAGAAAAATGAGTGTTCCATACATGGAGTGTCTACCCTCAGGGTTCCCCACAGCCCTCCACACTGCTTTCTGTTCTCTACAGCTCTAGGTCTGCCTAGCTCATTTCCATTTTAGATACTGGTCCTTTCATGTGTAGTATATTTCTTACTTCTCAGAGCAACTTCATGAAACTTAGAACTCATCTGATAGTGATAGCACCCATTCCTTATGGAGGTTTTTGTTTTGTTTTGTTGACATAGGGTCTATTGTAGCCCAGGCTAGCCTCAAACTAATGGTCCACCTGCCTCAGCCTCCTGAGTGCTAGGATTTGGGGTATGCAGCATCGCATGACTACAGCACCCATTTCTATTTTCCATATGAAGAAACTGAGACCCAAAGGGTAAAGGACTTGCCCAGAGTGAAGCCGAGTCAGTTGTGGACAGCAGTCATAGTCTCCGGAATCCTACTCTGAGAGACCTCTTACTACTGCACAGTAGTTACCATAGAGATTGTCTTTCTGCCTAGTCTCTGTTGACATCAGCTGCACTATTCTGTTACTTAACAAACCCCTGAGGGCCTGCACTGAATCTGGTTGGTGTCTGAGTCCTTTACTTTATAACACAGCTAGAGATTTGCTTCCTTTCTTCGAGTCTGCTCAGACTGCCGATTAGCCCTTTCCATCTGAGAACCCTACTTCCAGTCACATCTCGGATGTAACAACACATATAAACAGAAAACCATAATCTACCCTCACTCACCTGTCACTGAAGCCTGAAACTCCACCATTAGGGATTCATTCCATTGGGTTCAGGGATTGTTCCCTGTTAAAATGGAAACACCCCCAGAAAGAGGTGAACACAAAGTTATCAGTCATTTGTAATGAGTGACTTGTCTTAACCAATCCTTTCCAATATGTTAGGTAAAGCAACCTGAGAACAGGTTTTCCCTGGAGACTAGGAAGAACTGTGGAATACTACTCACCTGGGATGAAGAGAGCTGAAAAACACTTTACCAAGGGCTGTTTGTTTTTGTTAATGTGTGTGTGAGTAGTACAAACAAAAAGTAAACAGACAAAAGACAAGTCTCTAAGGCTATACTCCTCCTTTTCACTTCACCCACTGTTGTCATTTCCTCTGCCTTATTTCCTTGCTTTCCAGAAGCATGAGGTTTATAGCAATAACATGCTCATAAAGCAGGATGCATTGTAGAGCAGTGCTGTTAAACAGAGAATGCAAGTCACAAATGCAAGCCTAATTTTTAAGATAACAATTTCAAGATTTTAAGAGCTATGTGGGCTAATGAGAAGGCTCATCAGATAAAGGCACTTGCTGCACAAGCCTGGCAACTTGAATTTGATCCCTGGAACATGTAATAGGAGAGAATCAACACCATAAAATTGTCTTCTGACTTCTGTATACTTGGCCACACACATAAGTAAATAAATAATTTTAGGAGCTATTATTTCAGTAAAATGAAATGGGTGAAGTGAATTGTAATATTTAACTCAGCATATCCAAAACATTTAACGTAATCAATATTAGGAATTACTGAGCTATTTTAGAGCCCATCCCAAGATGAACTAGCTACCTGTTGGGTCAGGTGCTTAATTGTTACACATGACTAATAGTCACCAAATTGGACAATGCTGATAAAGAAAATTAAAAGTGGAAGGCAAAAGCCAGGTGTGGTGGCACACACTTTAGTCACAGCACTTGTAAGGTAGAAGCAGGCTGATCCCTAAGTTCAAGGCCAGCCTGGTATACAGAGCAAGTTCTAGGCCAGCCAGGAGTACACAGAGAAACCCTGTTTCTGAAAACAAAAACAAAAACTAGGTTAAAAGAAATGTATCGGACCTCACAACTTAGTTATTACATTCCTGGCAGCCAAAGGACAAAGGGAAGCCTTGGGATGTATAGTACTCGTCACAGGAATCAAAGAAGAAATTGGTCTCTGTGCAGAGACAATGAAGCATTAGCAAGTACTATTCAAATAAATTGTGTTAGAAGCCAAATCCAGGAGGCATATCTATAGTCCCAGCCCTTGGGACCCTAAGGCAAAAGATTGTGAGTTTGAGGCCAGCTTGAGCAACACTGTCTCAAAAACAAATCCAAACAAAATAACAAGGAAAAAAGGCACGTTGAGAATGCAAAGACAAAGCTGGGAATGATAGGTGGCTGGTGAACACTGGAGCTGAGGCAGGAGGATCATAAACTTAAGGTCTGCCTGGGTTATATATAATGAAATCCTATCTCAACAACAATAAAACCCACAAAGGACCTGATTTCAGTTTAGGCTTAATAAATACAGTGCAAATAAATTCCATTTTTGGTAATTTAATATATGCAAGAACAGACTTTATCAGGTTTGGGGGAATAAAATCTTGGGTGTACATTTGTGAGGCAGAGGCAGGGGGATCTACATAAATTAGAGTCCAACCTGGTTTACAAAGAGAATTCCAGGACAGCCAGAGCTATATAGAGAAACCCTGTCTGGAAAAACCAAAAAGAATAAAAGAAAATGTGTGTTAGTTTTGCTCTTTTGGCTTTTGAGAGGCCCAACACCCAGCTCCCAAATAAATCACACATGGAGGCTTGTTCTTAGTTATGAATGCCTGGCCTTAGCTTGGGCTACAAAGTGGGATCCTGTCTCAAAACCCAAAGTTAACTGTGGTGGCTTACATTTGTAATCCAAGTAATTTCAAGATAGAAGCAGAAAGATCGGGAGTTCTAAAGTCACTCTCAGCTACAGAGCAAGTTTGAAGCTATTACTGGACTACACAAAACTGTATCTCAAAATAAAAGCAAAAAAGGGGGAGATCAGGAGTTAAAAATGACAGAGATGAAGACCCCCTTGGGCAGCAGCAAAGTCAAACTTGTAGGAACACATGGACATGTAGAGGTCCCCACTGCCCTGATTGTCAGGTGTTTCTCAGCCATGCTAGATTAATTTAGGCAGTTTCCTTTTGGCTTAGGAAAATCTATAGGCATTTGAGAACTCATTATTCTTTTCTTTTTTCTATGGTGTTAGGGATAGAATGTATATCCACTGCACATACTGGGTAAGTTCTGTTAGTGAGCCATGTCTGCAACCCTCACAGTTGTCTTTTGTAGAACTAGAGGAACCTAGCTTAGGCAGAAGCCCAATGTACTTGAGTACCTACATTTATTGTTGTTTTTTACCACAGGCACATTTTAAATTATTTAATTACAAAATTTATGTGAGGCCAGCCTGATCTACAGAGCTAGTTTCAGGACAGCTAGGGCTGTTACATAGAGAAACCCTGTCTCAAAAAACAACAACAAAAATTATGTGTATGGCTGTTTTGTTGGCGTGTATGTTTGTGCTCCAGTTATGTGTGTATGGAGGCCAGAGGTCAAATCCCCTGGGACTGGAGTTATAGACTCTTGTCAGCCATCATGAAGGTGCTGGGAATTGAACCTGGGTACTTTGGAAGAGCAGCCAGTACTTTTGACTGCTGAGACATCTTTCCAGTCTCCTTTGTTTTCCTTTTTGATTTTCAAGACAGGGTTTCTCTGTGTGTACCCCGGCTGTCCTGGAACTCATTCTGTAGATCAGGCTAGCCTCTGCCTCCTGAGTGCTAGGATCAAAAGTGTGTACCACCACTGCCTGGCATGAACAGGTATTTTAAAATACCAAAGAAAAAGTTTTACTGTTCTTTGGTGGCTAGAACTTTAGAGCAGAAGTGATTTTGTGAAGAAGTTATGAAAGTGGAGCTCTATGATGATGATGACTCTGCTTGTTGGTAGCTAGTACTGTGTTTTATTCATCATCATACAAAGAACTTGGCTTATAAGCGGCATTTGTGGAATGAGAAACTGCCAATATGCTGATTTCTGTTTGGGCAGAGTTGATACTGAGCTATTCTAACAATTGGCTCTCAGATCCAGCTGTTTCATTCCATACCTCATTCCCAGTAAAATATCAATTCAGTTCTGCCTGCTGCCCTGTGCCTGACCAAAAGGAATGAAGCCAAGGAACAAATAATAGAGTCCTGTCAGGAGCTCAGAGAGACCTGTTGGATTTCTATTGATGTGTCAGAGCAATCTAGCCAGTCCCAAGTTACAGTTGCCTATTTAGTGAATACTCTGTTTCACCCTCAGCCCTAGTGTACCTGTACCACCATCTCCACCACCTTTAATCCCAGCTCTCAGAGGCAGAGGCAGGCAGATCTCTGTGTGTTTGAGGCCAGTCTGATCTACAGAGTTCCAAAACAGCCCAGGACTGTTACACAGAGAAATCCTGTCTTGAAACCCCCCTCCACAAAAACCAGTAGTAGCTGGTACCTGTAATCTCAACACTGGGAAATACAGACAGGAGGATCCTGGGGACTTACTGGCAAGCACACCTAGCCAGTCTTTAACTTGTGTTAAGCAAGAGGCAAGAACTGTCTCAAAAAGTAAAGTGGAGAATGATAGAGGACACCTGACATTGACCATGGCTTCATGAGTATATACACCAGTGTGAACTCATTAAAAAGTTTATGAGCTGCCAGACATGGTAGTGCACGCCAGCCTGGCCTACTGAGCAAGTTCCAGGACAGCCTTCAAAGCTACAGAGAAACCCTGTCTCGAAGAGAAACCCTGTCTTGAAAAAATATATATGTATATTTAATATATATTTAAAATTATACACAAACATATGTATATAATTATGTATGTATGTATGTATGTATGTATGTATGTATGTATGCAGTCTTCTGCCTGCATGCCAGCAGAAGGCACCAGATCTGTAGGCAGGAATGACTTGAATTCCTGGTCCCTCTACCTCTACATCTCAAGTGCTAAGATTACAGGCATGTGTCACATACCTGGCTTTGTAAAAATCTTTCCAGAGAAAACATCTTTTAAATTTATTTTTATCAATTTAGGTATTAAAGCTGGCAAGAATCAATGATTCCTATTCATTGTCCTATATCTATCCCCTTTGCACTATAATTTTATAGTTCTACTCTACTCTGATGCTGAGCTCAGCTTTTGAACCAGCCAGTGAGATGCTGATAAAATGAAGAAGATTTAAGGTTTTGTTTTGGGCACTGGACATGAACTCAGGAGTCTTTTATATGCTAGGGAAGTGCTCTAGCACTGAGCTACATTTCCAGCCTGGCAAATAGAAACTTTATAGGAAGACTTGCTCTCCTGTGCTCTGCCAATGCCACAAGTACTGGCTGGAGTGCTTGAAGGATTTGAGACACAGGCAGGTGCTAGAGGTGAAAATGACTCAATGCCCTCAGCAGAGGCCAGTTTAGACTTGTCTACAGTCAGATTGGGAGGGTCACCTAACCTTCCCATGACTTCAGGCAGATGTATGAACTCACTCAGGTAACTCAGAGTCATCAAAGTAAGAATGATTGTTGCTTTAAGCCTCTGTGGTTTTGGATGATTTGATACACAGCAATAGCTAAATGATCCATTCCCCAGATGCTCTTTGGACAAAAGGTTATCATCATCTGTTTTCTTACTTGTGAAATTAAGACAATCTGACCTGAAGAGCTATTGTATGGCCTCCAGCAGATGCTCAGTAAAAGGAAGTAGCATTACTCTGTGTGTGTTACTGGGGCCTTGTGCATGCATGCCAGGGTAAATACTCTATGAACTGAGTTACACCTTCAGCCCTCTATACTAAGTTCTTTATTGTTTGTTTAGTTTCTGTTTTCTCCCTGTAAGCTTGAGGACAGGGACAAGAAGTTAGACTTCTGTTTCAATAAATACACTAAACTTGACAAAGACTGGGTATTGGTTTGTTGAATAAATGGAGTAATTAAAGAAGGAGTACATGATGACTTAAATGTGTCACAAAGAGTCCTGCCTTCCAGCCCAGATGCTGCCTTCCTTACTCCTGCTGCTCTCTGGAGTCAGGTGCTTTCCAGGCCACTCTTTGGAGAGAAGATACTCTACATGGCATTCATGTCACCAAGCTGACTCACTGACCTGACCAATGAGAGGGTTAAGGGAATACTTATTTTGAATTTGAGTTTTCTTTTCAAAACTTAAATTAAAAAAAAAAAAAACCAACAAAGCTGTAGATGTTGCCAGGCAGTGGTGGGCACGTGCTTTTAATCCCAGCACTTGGGAGGCAGAGGCAGACAGATACATGTGAGTTTGAGACCAGCATGGTCTACAAAGCAAGTTCCAGGACAGCCAGGGCTATACACAGAGAAACCCTGTCTCCAAAAACAAAAGCAAACAAACAAAACAAATAGACAAAAAGAAAAAAACAAAAAAGGTCAAACAATATAGAGACGCATGAGCAGACTCAGGAACTTAAGTTACATGAAGAGTTTGGGACCTCTGGTAATACACGTAAAAGGCACTAGATGTTTATAAATAAACCCCATGTATTTCTTTGTAAGTCAATATTTTTTTCTTTTTTTTCACATTCCTGTATATTCTTTTACCTACCACCCCCATTTTTCTTTTGGGTTTTTGAGACAGGGTTTTTCTATGTAGTCCTGGCTGTCCTGGAACTTGCTTTGTAGACCAGGCTGGCCTGGAACTCAGAGATCTCCTTTGCCTCTGCCTCTTGAGTACTGGGACTAAAGCTGTGCACCACCACTGCCTTGCTCTCTCTCTCTCTCTCTCTCTCTCTCTGCCCCCCCCTCTCTACACACACACACACACACACACACACACACACACACATACTTCAAGATAGGGTTTCTCTGTGTAGCCCTGGCTGCCCTGGAACTTGCTCTATAGACCAGGCTGGCCTCCAACTAATAGATCTGCCTGCCTCTGCTTCCCAAGTGCTAGGATTAAAGGCATGCACTACCACCTGCCCGGCTATATATGTTATTTTTAATTTTATTTAACCTATTCCAGGTTGACAGAAATTTCCAGTTTGGAGAATAACTAAGATTGTTGTAGGAGGCTTGAAGCGAAAATCAGTTAGGAAAGCTGATGGGAGATCGACAGCCTAGTTTATAGAGGATTTCTGTTTTGGGGCTGCAGGTGGAGGGAAAAAGAAATCAAAGGATGCTATAAAAAATTGGCTACACAGCCAATATGTTCTGGAAGATTACATTTCCAGGTGCTAAAGGAAAGCCCAAGGATGACTTGATTCCTGCCTGCCAACTCCCATCTTATCTTCACCACATTCTGCAGTATGGCCAAATCCAACAACTCCAACTCACAGTAGGGTCCCTGCACTCCCATGGGACTCTCAGATTGAAAGTTTCCCTTTCCAGAGTCATCTGCTTGGAATGTAGTTTTTTCATGTCCTCCTTGTTATTCTTGCTTCAGGCACCAACTCCAGTATGAACTTTTCTGAGAAAATTTTCCTTATCCTCAAGCTGGATGTGGAATCTCCCTACTTGGCTCTCACCATACCCTATACTTACTGCCATGGTAGTACTCATAACACTAATTATCTGCTCACTGTCTATCTGACGAGAAACTCCAGCAGGGCAGGAAACATGTTTTTCTCATAGATGTCATCGTATACTCACTCCCTGACTGATACAACTAAATAAATGACAGAGAAGGACAGGAAGCACTATAATTGAGGGATCTGATCTGGTCATTTCTGAAGGATGAGTACAGGCAAAAGTACAGAATCACAGGAGGAAAAGACCATTCCACAGGTTTGGGATATAGCTGAGAGAAAGTGCTTAGCATGTATGAGTCTCTGGGTTCACTTTCACCATCTACTTCCCTCCCCAACACAAAAACAACAACAAACAAACAAACAAACAAACAAAAAAGACAAAGATTATAGTTGTGAGCAAAGGCCAAGTCTCCATGGTGGCATGTTCTAGTGTGTGCTCAGCAATTTGGAAGACATTAAAGTGATACAAACCAGAATGGAGAAAAGGAGTATATATGGTTAAAGTACAGGCTGGAGAGGTGGGCAGAGCCACCCTGAGAGGCTCCTTTATTCTAAAAACAGCAGGAAGCCATGGATGTATATTGAATTGGGGTAAGGAGAGTGAATAATATCATATTTTCATTTAAAAAATATTTTTGTTGAGCTGGGCATTGGTGGCGCACTCGGGAGGCAGAGGCAGGCAGATCTCTGTGAGTTCGAGGCCAGCCTGATCTCCAGAGCGAGTGCCAGGATAGGCTCCAAAGATACACAGAGAAACCTTGTCTCGAAAAAAACCAAAAAAAAAAAAGTTATTTTTGTTGAAGTATGCATACTATCTAGAAGGGAATGCAGGAAGGATAGGGTGGCAGCAAGGACTGAATAAAAATTATTTACATATAGGAGGCAGAGGCAGTAAGATCACAAATTTGAGGACAGCCTGGGCGACCAAGGAAGACCAAGTCTTTAAAAGAAAAAACAACAGCAGCAAACAAACAAACAAGCAAAAATCAAAGACTACTTGCTGCTCTTGGAGAGGGCCTGAGTTTAGTTCTTAGGACCCACACTGGTAGCTCACAACCACCTGTAGCTCCAGATCCAGGGGACCAGATGCAATTTTCTGGCTTCTGAGGGCTCTTGCACACATGTGACATACATTTTATTAAATATTTTAGCTGGGTGGTTGGGTGCTTTCCTTAGCACTCGAGAAGCAGAGGCAGGCATTATCTCTGTGAGTTTGAGACCAACTTGGTCTACAAAGTAAGTTCCAGGCTATGCAGAGAAACCCTTCCTTGAAAAACAATACAAAACCCACCCCCTCCATATAAAAAGATATTTAGCTAGATTAGGTGTAGTGGTGTACACTTTTAATCCCAGCTTTTAGGGAGGGAGAGGAAGGTGGAGCTCGGACTTTGTCTCAGAAAAAAAAAAAAAAAAGACATTTAGGGGTTTAAGAAAGGATTTAGAGGTGAGGGAATGAGGGAAAGTAGATTTGATCAAAACACATTATATGCACGTATAAAATTCTCAATAAGAGAAATCTCGCCAGGCGTTGGTGGCGCACGCCTTTAATCCCAGAACTTGGGATTAAACTGTCTTGAAAAACAAAACAAAACAAAACAAAACAAGTCAACAAGAAAAAAGATATTTAGGTATTAAGTGAACTATATTAGAAATGCAGCCGGGCGTGGGTGGCGCACGCCGTTAATCCCAGCACTCCGGAGGCAGAGGCAGGCGGATCTCTGTTAGTT